AATGGTGCTAGGGAAAGGGGGAGAGAGGGGCTGGAAACCCCCAACCTGCCTGTGACACCCCCCCCATCCCCACACATAGAGGGGCTGTGGGTGCATCACACGGGCTGTGTGGGACAATACTGGTGGATGGAGATGCTCGGAGATGGCACTGACAGGACCCACTCCCCCTCACCACCCCAAGCACCCCAATTTGGGTTCCTGGGGCTGATGGAGACATGGGCACCAGTACAACATCACCACCACCACCACCACCCCCCAGCCAGCCCTGACTTTCAACTGCTTGTTTCCAAGCACCCGAGCAGGTGAGGAGCCACAGGGGAGCAAGGGCAGGCGGGCTGCAGGCAGGGCTGTGCTGCCAGCATGGGGCTGGTGGGGGGGTGGGAAGGCAAGGCAGCCCCCCACCCTGCTGCACTCCCCCAGGCAGAGGCGATTTATTGAAGCAGCACTGACATCGACTCCAGAAAATAATTCGTATCCAAGATGAAAAATCTATTTGTTTTTCTTTACAGCACGGAGAGGGGCTCGGCCGTCAAATGACAGGGGGGTAGAGGGCAGCCCCAGCCACTGCAGGGCCAGGGACCAACAGGGCCATCTTCACATCAGGGCAGGGACAGAGACCAGCCAGAAGTGACAGGGTCAGGGCTGGCAGAAAATGGGCGTAGGGGTAGGTACATCCCCATGAGAGAGCGTAGTTACCACCTACAACACCTTGGTGGGGGCACCAGCCCCAGTTCAATGGCACAGGCCAGCCCCCTGCCCTGCCAGCCCCCAGCAGAGGGGCACAGGGTGGGAGAGGTATAGTACATGCCTGCAAGGGTTTAATCAAGACATAGCTGTGCCCCTGCCAGATCAGCAACCCTGATCGGCCCCTGTGCTGCTTTATCTCCCACTGGCATCAGCCAAAAAGACCAAGCAACTTCCCCCCTGCCACTCCCCTTCAAAACGCCCCCTCATCTCTATGTACAGACTCAGTGTGCCATATCAGTACAAAAATATACACAAACTCTACAGATCCCAGCTCAGTAGATCAAAAACACAGCTCGAAATCACAGTGCACAGGACAGCGTGAGGCCCAGGGAGTGACGGGGCCCCCCCGACAGCACAGCATGCCACAGGTGCACCCTGGCGTGGTGGGGGGGCAGATCATCCTCCTGCCTCACGGGGTCATTTCTGATCCAGTCTGCAGTACAGGTACATGGAAACTGCCATGGATGAGATCTGTGGGCAGCAAGAGGTGAGTCAACCCCCCTAGGTGTCCCACACCAGCATGGCTTTGGGTCACAGCCCGTAGCATCCATCCCCAGCACACACAAGGAGGAAGAGCCAGGTGTGCCCAGGGAAGAAGGCTCAGTAGCCACACTGCGGCAGATGGTGGCCCACAGGGCTGCACCAGCCCCCTGCAGCCCCTTGGCCAGCCAGGCTGGTCCCAGCCCCACTGCTCCCCTCCAGGTACAAGGAGGAGGGAGCAGCACAGCTACGGTCAGGCACTCACCTCCAAGGCAGCGATGCCAGCTGCCACGCCACCCACCACACCTGCGTTAGTCTTGATTTCTTTCAAGATCTGAGGGAAACAACCCTGCAGGAGGCAACCACATGGGTGAGGACGAGCAAGGGGTAGCGATCCCCCAACCACTGGGGCACAACATCCCCAGAAAGGGAGGTTCTCCAGCCTAGAGCTGCATGGCCATGGAGAAAGCCTGGAGGCTTCAGTGGGCAACCTATCTCAGCCACTTCTCAGTCCAAAGCACAGTATGGGGGGGAGGTAGGGGTTGCGGGGGGAAGGGGTGAAATCACCCAAAAAGGCAGAGTGGTGCTTGGGTTAATGCTCAGCTCCAGGCATGCCACCCTGCTGCAGAGCTCCCTGAAGGACCAGAGCAATGGTAACAGCTTTGCTTTCTCCACCAGGGAGAAGACCACCACAGCACCCTCCCACATCTTAAAGCCATGTCCAGAGCTGGGGCTGGAGTTACAGGACAGGTCTCCCTCCCTGTGCCAGGGCACACCCCAAATCAGGCACTGCCAGAAGGTAAGAGCTGCTGGTGTGTCCGTACCGAGACGTCCTTTTTTGCAGCAAGCGTTTCGTTGCAGGGCTTCACACCATTGCAGCAGAACTCTGGGTAGGTTTCATTCTTCTTATAAAAGGGGGAGTGAGTGAAGTCTGTGTAGTTATTCAGGCCACAGCAATGGATCTAAGAGGGAGAGAAAGGAAGGGATGGGGAGACCATCCTGCAGGTCTCCCTCCTGGGTCAGATCCCCCCGATGGAGGGGGGTAACTCAGCTCAAGACAGCTCTGGGGGTTGCTCAATGGCCTTCTTGGGACCAGGATTTTGCCTGGCACTCCAGCATCTACAGCTCTCACCCCACCCACAGGACCACTGGATCCCAAGCGGGTAGGTCCCCGGCACCTGGGAAGCTGATGGGGTAGTGACAGCTCAGCACATCCAGGATTGCGATGGTGTTCCCATTCCCATCCTGCTGGCCAACCCAGCTGTGCACCACCAAGCCTGTACTGGGGGCATCCTGACCCAAAGGTGGGGTTCCCAGGGCTCAGCACACCTCACCCATGGTGATATTCCAGATACTTGTGAAACTGCTATCCGCCCCATACTTCTCCTTCAGGAGAGGGGTCACCACAGACGTCAGCAGTGTCTCTGCCTGGAAGAAGAGGCAGAGAGACACCATCAGAGAAGATCCACAGTAGCACCACAGAGCAGAAAGCCCCCACACTGGTCTCCTCCCATGGGGAGGAGACCAGGCAGACCCAGCATGGCCAAGAGTATGTCACACCATGTCCCTGTGGCCCAAGGACAGCTTGGCCCCTTCCCCACTAACCAGTGCTTTATGGCACCAAGGCCACTCATAACCAGTGAGTCATCTGATAAGCAGCATAACCGAGGGAACCAGGAATGACGTTTGCCCTGCGGTTGATTTCTCCAGTGCGTAATGAGGCAAAGTCACCTTTCTCCCCAAGTGCCTAATCTCTCTCAGGCACCTAATAAGGGGTTGAGTTTGCTCAACATGAAGGATTAGGGACTTCCTCTCCTGTGTGGCTCCTACCACGAGAGATGGAGAGGTGTCAAGCCTAGGCTGGTACTGGACTAAGAGGTTTGAAAGAAAGAAGCAGGCAAAACGTATACAAACCCTCATTTCTTTAGGGCAGTGGGAATCCCTGTTCCCATAACCCTCACCCCGGCCAGGCTGCCCCAGCCTGCCCACAGAACCAGTGCCAGCAGGGACTGGCATCCCTTCCTCCTGCAGCAGTGCCCACCTCTCAGCTCCCCCATCCATGGGCAGTACTGCCACCCCCCATGACTCCTGTTTTCCCAAGGGGTAGGACAGGTCCCAGATTAGCCCAACCCAAGACTTAGATATGCCACTCACAAGACCTGTGTAGACCAGAGCCACCACAGCAGCAGCAATTTCGGCAATGAAGATGATCAGGACCACCGAGAAGAACTAGGATACAACAAGGGAAGGGATGTCAGAGCAACAGCCAGAGCCCCACAGGGCCCCCAGGAACCCACCTGCTTCCCAAGGGCCAGCAGGACCCTCCCTCAGGGCTCAAGCCCTGTCTCATTGCCTTCAGCTCTGCTCCAAGGCAGAAGCAGCACAACCTTGGGATTCTCCAACCCTCTGTCTGCATGGGGCTGACCTCTCTGGACGTGCTCCAAGAGAGACCTCTGCTCAGCACCAGCTCCTGCTTCCTTTCACCCTTGCCTGGGACAGACTTTGGTCTTCCTTCCCAAGAGAAGGAAGCTTTCCACCACATGGGAACATCCAAGGAAGACATCTCCATGGAGAAATCTATCCCTCAAATCTCCCCCACCAGAGACCCAGCTCAAATGAGGCTTGGTAAGGAGGTAAGTCAGGTCCATACCATCATCAGGAGACACTTGCTCTCCTTCTGGGCACCATAGCACCCAAGGAAGCCAATCACCAGCAGGATGGACCCAATGACGATGAGGAAGTAGCTCACATTCACGACCTGCAGTACGCTAGAGGATAGCGCCCCAAATATCTTCAGGAATGACTGCCCGTCTACTGTGACCCAGATGCCAACTCCCAGGAGGGTCCCGCCACCGAGCTGGGAGGAGAGAGACAATGTCAGCTCCCGAGCAGGCAGAGATCTGGGCTTTGGGGAAGGTGCTGGCACGGGTATTTCTCCCCTCTGCAGGTTTTCACCATGCCAAAGCAAGACTTTATGGCCACCACAGGCTTGGGGCGGCTGGATGGGTCAATAACCTGAAACACACCCCACCACCAGCACACCCCCAGCTTCCCCCTTCCCCAGCCCAAGGGGTTTCGGTGCCAGCAGCGGCACAGTAACCCTCATGCAGGGTGGCCGAGCCAGTGGCACCATGGGCCCAACCCTTTACCCCAGAGGGGCAACATGCAGCCTGCCCCACCTGCCCTCCACCCGCCCGACCTTCCCCACCAGCCCCAAGCCCTGGCAGGAGCTTTAAGGAGGGCGTGCTTTGGCAGGCCAAGCCCAGCAGGTCTGCACTCCCCTTCCCCAGGCTATACCCCACCGCATCCCCTTCCAGGCGGCTCCATTGGTCCTGCAGAGCCAGGGTAGCTCTCAGGAGCTCCACTACCCTTTGCCCTGGGTGGGAACAGGGGCTGTGTGTGCTCTGGAGACCCCCAACATCCAAGACCCCCAGCACTGCAGGTCACTGTCACACACATGGGCTGCTCCCTGTGGAGACAGGGTCCCCCAGGCAGGGACCCAGCAAACTCCCCTGCTCCAGGGCACCCAGCACCCTTCCCTTCCACCAGAGCTTCAGCACAGGGAAGGACATGGGTGGCTGATGCAACAGCCAGAACCCAGCACGGTCCCCTGGGCTTTGGCCAGGGCTGGAGAGCAAGAGACCCCCGCAAGGTTAAGTCCTCAGCTTGGGGCCAGAGACCAAGATCTCACACCCCACTGGGGTCCCAGGAGCATGAGTCCCACCAACACCCAAAATCCCCCTCTCCATCCCCTACAGAAGGGACACAGAGGGGCAGGAGAGCCCACACGGGCAGGCTTTTCTCACCCCATGCCCGGCCCAGGGTGCTCCCCAGGAGCTGCTCCCACAGACCGTGGCCCTTCATCCCAATTTCCCAGGGCAGCTGGGGGGGTGGTGAGCTGCCAGGCTCGGGCCCCCCGGGCAGAGACAGCAGCTGGGGTGCACTTACGAATATGGCCAGGTTGAAGAGGATCATCATGACCTTGATAAAGGTGAAGAACCCCATCTTTGCGCTGGGGAGAGCAGAGAGAGGTTATCAGGGGGGGCCCCCACCCCGGCACGGCCCCTGCCCTCCTGCGAGCGGGGCTTACCCCCCCGTTCCGAGGGAGCCCGGGGGTTCCTCGCGGGCGGAGGGGAGGCACCCACGGGGTCCGCTCCCCGAAACGCCGAGCCCAGCCTACCTG